ATCACTACCCTCTGGGCCCGGCCTTCTAGCCATCTTTCTATCCATCTTACCGTCCGTTTATCCAATCCACAATCCCTTAACTTGCTGGCAATAATATTGTGGGAGACCGTATCAAAAGCCTTGCTAAAGTCAAGGTATATCACATCCACTGACTTCCCCATGTCCACCGAGCCAGTTACCTCATCATAGAAGCTAATCAGATTAGTCAGGCATGACTTGCCCTTTGTGAATCCATGCTGACTATTCCTAATCACTTTCCTCTCATCCAAGTGCCTCAATATGGATTCCTTAAGGATCCCTTCCATGATTTTTCCAGGAACTGAGGTAAGACTGACTGGCCTATAGTTCCCTGGATCATCCTTCTTCCCTTTTTTGAAGATGGGCACTACATTTGCCTTTTTCCAGTCATCCGGGATTTCTCCCGATCTCCACGACTTTTCAAAGATAATAGCCAAAGGCTCCACAATGACATTTGCCAACTCCCTCAGTACCCTCGGATGCACTAAGTCCAGACCCTCTCCCACTCCAAATCTCTTAGCCCAAGACCAGAGCCTGTGTCTCAACCCTCTACCCCTGCCTGGTGAAAGGGAGGGAGGGAGGATGGAATGAGCAGGGACAGGGCCTCGGAAAAGGGGCACAAAGGAGGTGGGACAAGGATATTTGGATCTGAGGTAGATCTTGGATTGCACTTCAATTCAGAAACTGATCTTGTGCTTAAAAAGGTTGGAGACCTCTGCCCTACACAGTCCCAGCCTCAGAGGGTGCTGCTCGGTCCAGCAAGCTGCACTGGCTGCCCTTGTCATGATACGAACCATGCAGGCCAGGGAGTGGCCGAAGCTGATAGGCTTCTGCAGCCAATCGGGTGAGGATGGCGAGTTTCATTTTCGGTGACCCCAGATAGGGGTGTGGGGATCCCACTGCAAGGAGGTGGATGTTAGCTGAGGGGGGCAGGTAGGATTCCCATGCAAGGGTGCAGATGGTAGCAGGGGAGAGAAGTATGCCAGCATGAGGCTTAGGGGCAGTGCTTTTTGTGTAAGAAAAAAGGTATCGGTACTCTGGGGAGAAAGTTGTTGAGAAAAAAAAAAAAAAAGACACACTGGGAGGCCGAAATACAGTTGTGGCCCCTTTAAGAGCCGTATGTCCTGAGCGGACTTCCATCAGGAGCCTGGTTGTCCCAAGGAAAGAGGTGCCTGTTCACTTGAGGGGAATGCAATTCCTTTAAGTTATGCAGGGAAAATAGGTACAGTCACAAAAAAAAAAAAAAAAAAGCACTGCCTGGGGGCGTCAGGGTGAGGACTCAGTTGCTTGTCTTTTGTAGGTTCCTAGTCTCGGTCTGGGCTCCTGGGCACAGGGGGAGACTCTATCAACTTGTATGTGCTGTATTTCTACCTCATAGCATTCAAAACTCATGAATCGCCCCCTCTCCCAAAAAAGTAAATGGTTTCTTAATATCACCGATAAAAATACACTTGGGGATTTTTTTATTTGGCGTCTGGCGTTTGAGGTCTTTGGCTGAACTCGGGGCATGTTTTCTAGCTTTTCTCAGATCTGGCTTAATTATAACAACATGGATGGACCTTGGCAGAAATAAAAAGCCCCAATTATCAAGAGGCTTGTGATCAAATCAAGAACGTTGGCATCCCTGCTATCTAGTCAGTTTCACAAAATGAGTGAATAATTTCACAACTTGCACCTGAGGACGCTGCGCACACCTCCCACAGGCTACAGGAGCATAGAGCTAGCAGCAAGAAGCCACTCTAAGGGTACGTCTACACTTGCTCCCTGTCTTGAGCGAGGGATCCAAATGTAGGCAACTGAAATCACTAATGAAGCGGGGATTTAAACATCCCGCGCTTCATTAGCATGATCGCGCCGGCGCACTAGTTCGAATCACAGCTGATTCGA